GTAATGACGTGTAATTATTGTATTGGCTATCTGCCAAATGCAGATAGCTGTATGTGCTGTATTTTCTTTCATTTCACGAACGGCACTTTTGCGGGCTGTTCGTGAACCGAAAATACCCCCCATGTAGTAGCCCACACACTTAGAGGCGTGTGGTGCTTGTTAACCGATTGCAACAATGTTGCAAACGGTAATTAGAGGCTCTTCTAGGTGGCCGCCGTTCGACTACCGACCATGCGGCGGTCGGCCATATTGGATCCTTTGTTCCCTCAGCGGTGTTTGGTCGTCGAGCGCATGGTACTAAAAATGGCTACTCGACGGCGCGAACACCGCTGAGCTTCCAGGCCGTTTGGGAGTTCCGGGCCGTTCGGTAGTTTGTTCCCTAGAATGCAATCGGTATTTTGAACATGTATTTTAGTGAATGTGTTTTTCGTGCGGCTTTCGGTTGTTTTAGCTGGGATCTGAGCGGTAATCTCACGAACGATGCGCTCAGACCTCAGCTATCTACCGAACGTCCATTCGTTTAAATAGACTGCCTATTCGAAAAGTTATGTATTTTAATATAAATTGTCGGTTCTGCTGCACGGAGGGATAATCCACTTAACGGTACATTCCTGTGGGAGGATCCCTCTCGTGCAGCAGTGCCTGATGGGAGAAATGTCTTGTACAGTAAGTTCCCCATGTAGTCCACTCTGGGAATACCCCTGGGAGGGGACTCAGGAAACCCCTTGCATGGGGACTTGTATAAATTGTGGCGCTGAAAATAAAGACCTCAGTTGACTCTCAGAACTGTGTTTCGTCCGGTTACTGGAAGATTTGGGATATTGCCTTGCTTTCTCCAGCACTTGACTGTGGATTATTTCCAGAACCAGCGGAATTCGTGGATTTAATATTGGCGTTCCGCTACACATATAATTCTAGGCATTTAAAGTTTAATGAATTTAGTTACTTATTGGCATAAAAACATCTAAAAAAAATTCATGTTTGATGATTGAATATGTATATATGTATCTTTAGTCTTATTTATACTTGTAATGTATTGCATTTGAATTTGTGAGTACAGTGGGACCTCGGTTTACGAATTGAATGCATTCTCCGGGGCGTTTCTTATTGCGAAAAATTTGTAAACTGAAAAGCGGTTTTCCCATAGTTTTCATGCATTGAAAACCAATTAATCCGTTCTGGAGGTCAGAAAAAAAGTCAAAATGAGCTGGCATGGAAACCAACCCACAATGCAGAACACACAATAAAAGGCATGCAAATGACGAAGCTCAGCTCCCTACCTTACCACAGCTTGAGAAATGCACCAACAAGTCCAAAAACAACTGCAAACAATTTCCAGAATGGCTCCAAAATTCGATGCAAAATCCGCTCCAACACCTCCACACTCGACGCCACGTGCTACCCACAGGCTCCAGCATGCAGCGGCCGGTGCTATAAACCTCTCAGGTGCAATGCATCCTGGGGAAACTTGCTTTCTAGTGCGAAAAAAGATTGTAAACCGAGGCATTATTTTCAATGGATTTTAATTTGTAAACCGAAAATTATGTTAACCGAGGCGTTTGTAAACCGAGGTCCCACTGTATTTAACCCCTTAAGGACCGAGGACGGTTCAGGACCGTCATTGGCATTTTTGGCTTGCCGACCGATGACGGTCCTGAACCGTCCTAACGGTCAGAGCTACTTACCTGATCGCCGTCGTTCCCCCGGCGGCGATCAGCGTGGCTCCGGTTGTGGGGAGACTGCCTGCAGCCCAGACAGTCTCCCCACACTGAAGTAGGACCCCCTGTGGCCATGTGATCGCTCAACACAGCGATCACATGGTCACAATAGGTGTCCATAGTGCTGCCTGCAGGGGGACTGCCTGTGCTGACAGGCAGTCTCCCTGCTTGTGTAAAATCAGAAAAAAAAAATAAAGTTAGTGTTAATTAAAAAAAATAAAATAATTATATATGTGTATATATGATATATAGACATATATTATATCTATATAATATATGTCTATATATCATATATATAATGTCATACTAAGTGTATTTTTATATTAATATGTACTTATATTAATATAAAAATACACTTATAATTAAATTACACACGTATATATATAATATATATAATAACTATATATATTGTATATATATATTATTATAAAATATAAATAATAAATAATTTAAATTAAATAAAAATTTTTTTAAATAATAATAAAAAATTTAAAAAAAATTATATAGCTATATGAAATTTTATTCTAACTGTATTTTAAAATTAATATATATATATTTATATCAAAATACACTTAGAATGAATTTGTATATATATCTATGTATATATAAATAAATAAAAATAATACGAAATATACATATGTCCATATACGAAATTACATAAATAATTATATAAATATACACGTAGACTTCAAATATATAAATATGCATATATATTTAAATTCTACGTGCGTATTTATGTAATATTTTTACATAATTTAGTAATTTTATTGATTGCAATTTGAGGGACCTGCCTGCCAACCCAGGCCGAAATTCCAGAGAATTTAATTTGCTAGCACTGTATTTTACCCTGTAACGTTCTACGACACCCTAAAACCTGTACATGGGGGGTACTGTTTTACTCGGGAGACTTCGCTGAACACAAATATTAGTGATTCAAAACAGTAAAACATATCACAGCGATGACATTGTCAGTGAAAGTTACTTTTTTTGCATTTTTCACACACAAACAGCACTTTTACTGATGATATAATTGTTGTGATACGTTTTCCAGTTTTTAAACACTAATATTTGTGTTCAGCGATGTCTCCCGAGTAAAACAGTACCCCCCATGTACAGGTTTTATAGCACTTTTGAAAGTTACAAGGTCAAATATATGGGTCAAATATTTTTACATTGAAAATGGCCAGGTTGGTTACGTTGCCTTTGAGAGCGTATGGTAGCCCAGGAATGAGAATTACCCCCATGGT